ATCTAAATTGAGATTTATCGAAGTGTACCGTCAATTTTGTTGTTCATCCATCTTTCCCTCAATTCATTCAACGAATCTTGGAATAAAATATTAAATGTGTAAAAAAAAAATATATATATATAGATAAAAATAAAATATTCCTTTAATTTCAAATATCGTGATAAAGTATTCATGTCAAATCAGAATTGAGATCTATCGAAGTCTACCGTAAATTTTATTGTTCATCCCCCCCCCTTTTTCTTTCCTTATTCATTAAACGAAACTTGGAATAAAATATTAAACGTATAAAAAAATATATATATATAAAAATAAAATATTTCTATAATTGCAAATATCGTGATAAAGTATTCATGTCAAATCTAAATTAAGATTTATCAAAGTACACCGTCAATTTTGTTGTTCATCCATCTTTCTCTCAATTCATTGAACGAAACTTAAAATAAGATATATTAAACCGTGTAAGAACATATAAAAATATATATTATATATTCCTACACACAATCGTGTAAATCAATAATAATCTTTCATAATGCAAAGGACAAATTCTCTTACATTAATCTACTATTATATACAATAAAACCAATAATTTATTCCGTCAAATTTCATTTTCATCCTCTTTAACGTTATAAACTCACCCTGAACAATGGCCATTGTTAAAGAACATCCTCTACTCGCGCGTGCAAATTGTTCGGACTGGATAGTAGTGTTTTTGTTAGCAATGCAACAAAACGACTCTATCTCTCTCTTTTTCTCTCTCTCTCTTTCTAATACTAGCCTTTTCAATGTTCCTAACACTTCTTGTACTCCCACTTTCCTATCTTCCTTCTATAATACTTTCTCACACCAAAGAAAACCCCCATTAGCTTTTCTCTTTGCGTTAACTCGAAAACGAATCCCTCTTACTTTCTTTTTGTCTGTCTGTCTGTCTGTCTGTTTCTTTCTATCTTTCTATCCATTGACGAGTTAACTCTTTCCCTCACACATATGCATACACACGTATATAACACGCATACGCGTAACTTTTAAAGCCGATCAAAGAGAATATCAAAGCTTGTTCCCATCAAATTTTTTTACCAATTTCTTTTTTTTTTTTTTTTTTTGTTAAATCTCCTCTCCCACCTTTCATTTTCATCTTACCGCGACGTACATATGAATGCTGACACACGCACACAAACAAATATATGCATACATGCATGCATACATGTTGTCGTAGCCATCGACGAAATGAGAAATAAGAAAAAGGAAAGAAAAAAAAGAAATTAAAAGATTGAAGGCGAGAAAAGAAGAACTCGCTAACATTCAAGGCAACATTTTCTTATCTCAATGAGTTCCTCATCTCATCTCATCTCATCTCATCTCATCTCATCTCATCTTTAATCAAACATTATTCAAACGGAGAGATTTTGAATTTATGTTATTAAATGTTATTAAATAAATCAATCAAATGACTACTTTTTAAATCAAATCTTAGATATATGTATATATCTAAGATTTGATTTAAATATATATATGATATGTAAATATATATATGATAAATAATATTGAAAATGATGCGATTAATTCCATAGTTTCAACTAAGAGTTGAAAGATAATAACAATAATAATAATAATAATAATATAAGAATAATAAAACAACAAATTTCGTAATATAAAAATAACAATAAAATAAAATTTCCAGTTGCCGAAGAAGTACCGATAAAGGGACGAAACGTTCAACTTATTAAAAATTAAGTTCTACTTCATTTTTTGACGTCCAAATTTCCTATGATACCTTTTTATTAAGAATTTTATTTTTGAACGAAAAAAACAATAAATTAAATAATAATAATCTTTAGTTAAAGTATTATTAATTTCGCATAACTAACCACGTGCTGATGCATCAACCGTTTAGATGAAAACTAATCTTTTCATTTGAAACTTGACGTTCAATATATTCGCGATGTTATGCGAAGATGGAAGAAAAGCTATCTATTCTCACCCCCGGAAACCCACCCCTACTCTCAACCTTTACCCTCCCCTTCCCAACCATTCCCCAACCCACTCTTCTTTTCTATGTTATATATTTTTTTTTCTTTTACATTTCTTCTTTTTTTTTTTTTTTTTTAATTAATCCAACGACTCACTCACATCAAGCCTCTCTTTCTAACACAAGCAAGGACTTGATGCATTACTCGAGCGATATTGCCAGTGACGTGCATTGTCCCATTGTCGAGACAGAACTACCCCTTTCCTCCATTTAACTATAACCATCCACCCACCCATCCATACACCCACCCACCCACCTATCTACCTACAAACCTTTCTGTGGATACGTGTCTTTCTGTCTGTCTGTCTGCCTGTGTCTGTGTGCACATTTTTTTTTTATATTACATGATATATATTATATATAAAAAAAATATATATATANGAAAAAGAAAGAGACAGGATAGAAATAGAAAAAGAAGAAGAAGAAAAAATAATAATAATATTTTTCTACGGTGGTTAGGTTTGATATTTATATATATATATATATATATATATATATATATTTAAATATGTATCTTTGTGTACGTCTTCGTATTTTTTGTTCATACGTGTGTCCTTTATATACGTGTTCTATGTGTACGTTTATATAACTTTAAAGAAAACAGGCCCCTTTACGATTCACTAGATATGTTAAATAATATTGGAAATGGAAGTCTGGCTCGTTGCCGGAAATCTTTCTTTAGCTTTCTTCCATCTTAAGAAATTCAAACTCGGCTACTACTAACTCTCTCTATTCTTCAAATTTACTTTACTCTCTTTCTTTTCGTTTTCTTTTTTTTTTTTTTCATATTATAGATAGATAAGAAAAATTCGTTTCTCTCATTTCGTTTAAACGAACTTTCAACGAGTTGTCGCGAAAGAAATGAAATGAATCGTCTCTCTCGTCGTTGTTGAAGAAAATTATTGAACTTTATAAAAGAGAATTTATACTTCGCGAAAACTCTTTTAACATTTTCTTTTCTTTTTTCTTTTTTTTTTTTTCATTTAATAAAATAAATTAATTTTTTCTCTCAATGTGTGTGCGACAAAACTAAGATAAATTTATTTACTTTAGAATGTTGTTTAATGTATGACCATTATTATCTCGCGTGACTTTTCGTTCAAACCACGTGGGTCTGTCTGTGTTCATGATCAACGTTAATGTTTTTACCAGTTAACGCGAATCTTTAAAATTCATTAGCTAGCACACAGCTAATGATTAAAAGGAAAATGTAATTTAATATAATATGCGACGTATAAACGAGGGAAAATATTTCATGAAATATTATTAATTAATAAACGTTTCACATTATATACTTTAACCCGAGTATCCGACGAATTTAACGAAATTTAATATTCCGTATGTTAATAAACGAACCTTAGAAGAGAAAATCCAACAAACTATCAAGAATTTATTCCGGTATAAAATATAATCTCTAATATGTTATTCTATTATTATATATATTTTTAAATTAATACAAATAATCTTTTATTGACTTTTGATTCGTTTTTTTTTCGTATCACGTGCATATTATAAAAATTGCATTATCATGAAAATATTTAATCAACTGATGATATTAGAAAAAATCATTTCGTGTGTATGTTTTTCATTGAACGTAAAAAAATTGCAACGATACGAATGGAAAAAATCTGGTATTGGTTACCGATAATTCATACGACATTCCTCCTCGTATTAAATAAATTCAAACAAATTTACGTTGGACTAAGCTTGTCCTTGTACCTGGCATCTAATTTTCACTTTTTGTTCAATGTTAATAACGATATTTGCATGGGAAATGAGAAACTATTCCGTTGCGTGTTACTTCTCCGCATCCATTTACACTTTTTTTTTTTGTATGTTATCCTTGCTTCAATTTCCTTCTTTTTTCTCATTCTTCCTTTCTTTCTTTCAATTAGTTTCGGTTGAAAATTTCAACTCATGCAAGGTACTATTATTCGAAGTTTTTGAAAAATCTATATTTCGTAATCTCTTTAAAAAAAAAAAAAAGAAAAGAAAAAAAGCAATAAATTAATGATCCCAATTTGTTGTTACAACAATTTGTTTTCAATTTCCCGCCAAAAAATTATATTTTGATAAATCTTATTTAAATGCAATTACATCGACGTTACGTTATTCGATCGTTTGTATTTAAATTCGACGCGATTGGGATAATTATGAAAAAAAATTACAAAGGAAAATTGTATTCCAAGTTAGAATAATGAAAATTTCACTTTATCAAAAGAATTAATAATGAAGAAATGTTAAAATATACGTATATTAAATTGTTCTAACAATGGAAACGTATATCTAGAACTATGTAATTCCAAGTAGAAACGTAAGAATAGATGAACAGATGAAAATGGACGTTAAAATGTTGGCATCACCTTCTCTTTACCAACAGAATTTCTACTAGGATCTTACAAAGAAGAACTTTCCGACATATGTTTTATACCTAATTCTACGAATCGATTTCAAATGCTTCGACTAATTACTCGAGCTTTGCTTGTTAATCGCTCGACAATCGAAATCTGCGATGCTTCTAAGAACGCAATGAAAATTCGATCGTCTTAATTTAACATATTTTTATACATTAATTATAATATAAGATAAGAAAGAAAAATTACAATTGAATTGTGTTTTTTTTTTTAAATTCCTAATATTTTGAAAAATATCTTTCGCCCTAATTTCAATTAATTTCCCGATTCTCCCCAAAAATAAATCATATAATAAAAAGTATATTACTAACCGTGAGTATCAAACTTCCTAATGATGGTCTCGATGATCGTTGTCCTTGGCGCCACGTGACCTCGTCTAACAGGCATCTCAGGATGAATTCCCACCTATCTGGGTGGACGAAAACGTTCGGCGTTTCTTTCTTTTTTCTTTTATTAATTCTTATTCGAGACTAATCAGGCCTCTTCGTGCACGATAATTAAGAAAACTATCGTTGAATTATCGAAAACAATAATAATGATGTAACAATAACTGCGCGTTGGGGGAGTTGGGGTTGAGCACTATGAGCACTAAACAAAAACAAAAAAAGAAACCAAACGATTGGCAAAAATATTCAACACACTCGCGAGCGAAAGACAAGGAAAAAAGAAGAAGAAGAAAAAAATCCCCCTCAAGGAAACTTTTTGATAATATAAATATAAAAAAAGAAAACAAAAGAACGAATGAACGAATGAAAAAGAAGAAGTATCGAGTTTAAAACTAAAAACGTTCATAAACTTTGATTAACTTATCTTGGCCGGAAAGTTTGTGTTGTTTAATTTTAATTATAATTTTAATTAAGAGAAATGAAATAATGAGCAAGATATGAAAGGAAGAAAAAATAATGAGGCACCCAAAGTAAGAACGCGTATCACTCAAATATTAGTTTATTTCTTTCGGAATTAAACGTTTTCTTGGTCTTGAACACTCGCTTCCTCTTCAAAGACTCGATATCGCACGAGCCAACAACTTCGATCGGATTAGCTTCCACTATTTCTGTTATTTAGATATACCAAAGGTCGCACACCACCTTGCTGCTTACTAACCTAAGTCTTTCCTGACTTATGATCCTTCCTTCGAAGCAAGGACACTCGGACAAGGTCGCCGCTCTCGTCTATTGGTCAACGTGCGTAATATTTTGGATTTTGTATCGTTCGTTTAAATTTTAGGACCTTCTTCTTCTTCTCTCTTATATCTTTTAATGTAAGTGAGAAAACATTTTATTTATACAGTTATATATATCTATACCACCACACCCTAGAATTCGTAAACAAATTTCCACGATTATTTCGATGATTAATGATTATTCTTTTAGATTATTATATTTTGCCACAACAATATAATTAGATAAGAATTTTCTTTCTATTCGATTCCACCCGTGGCAGGCACCCAATCTTTCTCGGATTAATAATAATCTTCATGATCGAAAATTGAAAGTACGATCATTTTTTTTTCTTTTTTTGTTCAATTCGATCCGATCCTTAACAGATAAACATCAAAACGCAGCCGTCTCGAGGAATACCTCGTATACGACTTTGAAAATACGCAAAATGATAATCTTTATCTTTTCGATTATTTGAAGAAAATAATAATACGAGAGGATGATTATTCCTCTTGATGATAATAGACTTCGTCGGCTCGACTTTAGTTTTTTGCCGATCCGAAGACGTACGCTGTAATAGCCTCGAAAAAGAAGCGCATGGTTCGGACATTTCCACGAGATTTTCAGATTAAAAGCTTTTTTATTCGGAACACGTTTATTTTCCAAACTGTTCTTCGTGTCTTTCTTTTTTCCTTTTGCTTTTTTTTGTTAATCTTCTTTACTATTTAGCGATATTATTTGGTTGTTTATTCTTATAGATAATATTGAAAGTATCTTCTTCCATTAGTCATCTAATACGTAGAGGAAAAATCCAAAGGATAGATCAAATGATTTTTCTTAGTAAGAAAATGGGAGGGTAACGACTCGATGGTCCAGGTTAACGTCCACGATTACGACGAGAAAGGCACGTGGTGATTGGTTGGATGCGCGCGAGTCTCTCTATACGTATGTATATTTGTATCTTTTTGTTGTTGTTGTTGTAGTAGTAGTAGTAGTAATAGTAATATCTGCTTTTATAGATGTTTTAATTGTATTATATAGTATGTCACGCGATATTATAAAAGCAAGATCGATAGATGTGGATCGAAATACGAGAATAATATCGTTACGACGAAAAGGAACTGTCCCGTTTCACGGGGTGATCCGGTCAGCTGTGCATTTCTGCTCATCCTCTCTCAGGGACAGTTATTTTTATACTTCTTCTTCATCCTCTGTGGCACTCGGTACGCCACGAAGAACACGTCCGACCACCGGCGATGCCACGATTCTCCGACTCGTTGATTCTTCTCGAAATCCACATCGGTTCTAACCCCCTATTCGGGTTCCTCGACACACACTTGCGACAACACCGGCCACAACCCTTTATTCCCACTTAACTAACAACTATACAAAACCTCTCTTTCTTTCGCATCTCTCTCTCCTCCTCCGCCCTCCCCCCTCCTCCTTTCGTCTTATTCTTCTTATTATTCTTTTTGGATTTATTTATACCACCGTCCACTCCACTTTTGTTTAAACCTTTACGGAAACACCTTTCTATCTTTCTCTCGCTTAGCAAAGCTCGCTTACTCTCTCTCTCTCTCTCTCTCTAACTCTCTATTTCTCTCTCGCTCCTCCCCTCGAAAGCACGAAGCACCACACCTCGTCAACCCGGACAACTACTAAAAACCAGCAAAAAGTGCAATCCTTTCTATCTTTCTTTCTCTCTTATCTTCTTTGTCGAGCATATTCTTCTTCTTCTTCTTCTTCTTCTTCTTCTGATTATTATTATTATTATTCTTATTATTATTATTCTTATTCTTATTCTTCTGTTCCGAATTGAAATGATTCCAATTAATTTCGTAAGTTAAGAAACGACAAAATTATTCTACGAACAAACGATGCTTCCTCGGGAAAGGTCGTTGGACACTGTTGCGCTACCGCGTGCTCTCTCTTTCCCACTCCTCGGTCGACCTGAAAAACCTCACGTCACTTCGGCAATGCCGAAGGAGTCGACGCAGGAGGAACTTTTGTTCTAGGGCACGCGCGTTTTTTTTTCCTTCCTTTCCTTTGCTTTCCTTGCCTTTCCTTTCCCAGGATTTGCGTTAGACCAGTTGCCGGCGCGTTTGATCGGAACTGAAAATACGACGATAAGAGGAGGCACGACAAGCCGACGTCTTTCTCGACGACGACGACGACGACGACGACCACGACCACGACGACCACGACGACGACGACGACCACGACGACGACCACGGCGGCAACGGCGGCAACCCAGGCGACGGCACGTACGGGGTGTCGTACATAGCGCCTGCGCCCACCTTTCCATCCCCCCACCTAAAACATATTTGCATCCGATTATACTGCCCCGATACTACCTCCCACCAACCTGCCACTGATAATATTGATAAGACTCTACACTTCTCTTTACCTTCGACTCTTCTCTTCTCAACAACTCTTCTTCTGAGGCAAAACTTTAGCCTTTTTTTTCTCTCTCTCTTTTCTAGAGGGTACTTTTAATCAAATACGATATTTTCCAAGATTTTCTATATATATATATATATATAGGGAGAAAGAATTATTCTTTTTATTATTATTATTTAACTATTGTAGATTAGAGTTTTATTTTATATTTACTCGTTGTATAATGTTTTTTCTTTTTTTTCTTTTTTTATTTATTTTCTTTTCGTAGAAAGCATGATGTGATTTACCTGGTAGAAACAATATATCGTTGTTATTGTGTTGTAAAATCGATTTAACATGCTGTTTAAAATATTTCTTCAAGTTTCTTTGTTACGTTGAATTTCTCTCTAATCGATATTTTAAGAAACGGAAATCAAATTAATGTATCGCGCCATTACTGTCCTAGCAGGTGGCGCCACATTGATATTCTGTAATACCCTACGTCGATAATCAATTATTATCGACGATGAGTCGTCTTCATATTCAACATATATTCTTACCGACTGTACCGTCGATAAATATTCAAAATTATTCGTTACGATAATAAAATGAAAAAACAGATTAATTTATCCTCCAGAGATAATATCCAAACGATTTATCAAAATCTTTAATTAATGATGAATATAACAATTTCAGAAAATAAATAAATAATATTTACGAGAGAAAAATAAAGAAATTGCAAATAAGAAAGAGTTGAAGTAGGAATCGTTGATAGATGGCAGTAGGTGCACACACAATTGACGTGAAGTGCGCTACGGTAAAGTTCGGGTATCTTCGGGAACCGGCGGATTCGGAATTGAAGGATAGTCTAGTAACAAAACCAACCCCGCCCTACTGGCCGCCGGGCGATCGAGTAAAAGAAGAAAAGGTAACAGCAGTAGGCAGCACAGCAGCAGCAACACCATCACAGCAGCAATATCAGTAGTTTCGTTAGCATCCGCAAAAAGGCAGAGTGTCGCTGGCGTCGTTTCCACTCCTCCTCCTCTTCCTTCTCCTCGTCCTGGGATGAAAACGATCGTCGACGCCCGTGCGCCGCGCTGCTCGCCCTTTTGAAAACGATCTATCGTGTCGCGTGCGCTACCTGTACGTGTTTTTATTAGTAAGTGTATTGGTGTCGTCTACTACGTAAGACCGTTCGTTCGTTCGTTCAGTCGGTTCATCGTTCCGTTCGTTCCGCACATTCGTTCGTAGTTCGTAGATCTTTCGTATATTATTCGTGCGTGAATATTTAGTGCATATGTAAAAGGAGAAAGATAAATAAAGAAAAAAAAGAGTAGGAGATAGAAAGGGAAAGAATAAAAGAGATAGAAATAAAGAAAAAGAGAGAAAGAGAGTGTGTGTGTGAGAGAGAGAGAGAGAGAGAGAGTGAAACGCGCGCGCGCCTACTCGCTGATCGTCGTTTCGTTTCGTTTCGTTTCGTGGTAGTGGTCGGGAACGTTCGGGTTCTCGGCACGGCCCATCATTGTCTCTCTCACACCGAGTCATTCTCTTCTCGCGTGGACGCCTCAACTTTTTATAACCTGAAAAAAAAAAAGAAATAAATATAAATAAAGTAATAAATAAAGTTTAAGAAGAGAAGAAGGAGTTTATAGTGAGACGCCGATAGAGTTATTGTTTAAATGTAAATCCATTTCTCGCGGTGTTGTTAATCGATTCGATTCGTGACGACGACGACAACGACGACGACGACGACGTTAAAGTGTCATTAAATTGTCGGTTCTTAAATAAGTACGTTGTTTTTCATTCCTTGTGCTCCTCGTTGAAGTACTCGCGTTACGCACAGACACAACATACATACATACATACATACATCTTGCATATATACATACATTTATACAACTGTCGATGATCGTGTATTCGCTGTGAATAAGAAGAAGAAGAAAGAAAGAAAAGAAAAAGAAGTAAGGAAAGTGCGTAGTAATCGATGTGAGGAAAGTCGAAGCGACACGACGAATCCCCTCGAGGCACCTCCTCGCCGTTGCGTGAGAAAGAGAGAATAGATTGGAGAGAGGGAGAAGAAAGAGAAGAGAAGAGAGAGAAAGAGCGAGAGAGAGAGAAGCAGGGAACTCTGTAGGTGGGACAGAGAGGCCAACGCACCGACGACGAGCCGGGAATTCGATCGTCTTCGAAGCTCCGTCAGGGAGCTCCAGGTACGTTTAATTATCATTCCATCGAATAATTAACTTAATTAATCCTTCAACTATGTACAATCGTCTTTATTTTCCTTCTTTCGTCAATTCTCGAACGTCATTTTCAGTTTGCTTTACAACGAGCGGCACAACGTCGGTAGCCAATATGGCCGCTGCCTAGGCCTCTACTGTCAAAATTTATACTCCATTCTTAAACACCTAAAACTATCCGAATTTATCGATCTCCTTTACGTTTAATTTTCTATTTTGTTCCAACGTCCGAGTTATATTTTGTCTTTTCTTCCTTTCTTCTTTTTTCTTCTTCCTTCTTTTCATTTTTTAACATTTTTTTTTCTATATTTTTTCTTAGGTTATATCAAAGTAATCCTTTTGTATCGTCGACTTTTTCGTATGAGTCAGTACTAACCGGTACTGCGATAACGAGCTTCTTCCTGCTTTCATTCCAGGTTCTACTTCATAGTAGTTTTTTATTACATGGAAATATTACAGTTTCGCGTTGACAAGTTTCCTCAAGATTCTATCATTCGATTATTTGTGATTGTTGAAACTTGTATCGTATGCAAAATATTTTTATCAAACTCATATTACTTATTCGTACTTGAATGCAATAAATGCGATAAGTTATATAAAATGTCGTCTACGTTATACAAATATTATGTCATTGCTTGCTTAGCGTATACATTTGAATGTTACTCTTACAATATCATTTCGATGAAGTTTGCTTTCTGTCAAATAGAACACATTTATGGAAAAGAAGTTAAGACTCGCTGTTAGTATCGAATAATGAAAGATGTTTGAACTAATATTAGCGTAAAGAGTGAATTTTTCTCTTAGCATCTTTTGCATTGATATTTTCTTCTGTTCTCGCAAAGATGCAAAAATTGAATAGACAATATTTGTACCGAAGATAATTGCCAGTACTATTTTCTTTTCTAATTTTTTTTCTTCGACTGTCATAGAAGAACTAAAGTTCATGATTGCACAGTTTCTTTTGTCGAGAAGTGCATTTGTCGACATGATTTTTCTAAAGATCTCTGGGACTCGATCAATTGCCTTGCGATGAACATTGTTACAAATGAATGTTTCTTATCGACACAAAGAGAAGGTTTTCAAACAAATTTGTCGTGTTGATATATCTGATACGCCTAATGAATTTTGAAATGCACTAAGATATTATTTTATTATCATCTTAGTTTTAAGTGTTTTCGTGTGTCGTCGCGAATCTTAACTTTCTAGATAAACGATTATTTCACTAGTTACAACGACGTTGTCCGCCTACTATTCGTAATTCTGGAAAATTAACACGTGACCTGCGTCACGAATGTTACTCAACCTAATATCTTTTAATTCTGAGCACCGGTGGAACGACACAGATCAACCGCAATATTCCAGTACTCGATTAAGGACGTTTAACTCCTGAAATTGAGTGGATAATGACTCTTTCTCTTTCTCCATTTCTTTCAAGAAAAACAAAAAAAAAAGAGAAAACGATTTAATCGACGACATTTGTTCAAGATTTTGTAACGATCATCAATTCATTGAGATGACTAATAAGTTCATCTAGTTTTACAAAAATCTTAAACAACAACAAAAACAAACTGCAAGGATTTGAAGATGTTGCATATTAAATATATAATTTTGTAAATTTTTGACTGATCAATCCTACCGAGTGGACTAACAAATCCTTACGAATTTTACATTATTATTTTGAATAAAATAATGTTAACGTAGCAGCAAAACAAAAAATAAAAGTCGGTCGAAATTTATTGGCCAATTGAATAAAAAAAAATAATCCACAATCGTTTGTTTTTGATAAGCATTAGAGAGGAAGGATTTGCAGTATTTTTATTTTTGGATGGTTGGGAGGGGGGTGGGTGGGTGTGAGGGGAAAGAAGCAATTGTTTATTCGTTCGTAGCGATCTGGAAAATTTTTTCACTTGCGGTGCAATGCCTGTGACGTTTATTTAACGAGGCTTCGGCTTCGGCTCCGGCTCGTGGTTATCTCGCTACACGCAATTAGAGTAACGGGGACTTGCATAATACCATCTAGCATATACACCGAGATGAGACTCGCGCGAAAACAAACTCGCTTTTAGTTGGTGTAACATCTCGACTTTGTATCTGTTCAAAGAAATGAGAATTCAAACAAAACATAAAATAATAATAATAAGAAGAATAAGAAGAAGAAGAAGAAAGAGAAGATAAATGTAAGAAATATTCCAGCTAATGGAAATTAAATAAAAATAACAACAACCTTTTTATTTTTTACTTTCGTTAGATTCACTTTTCAAATAATGCCAGGTAATTTCTCATTAGTAGGTTAAATGTTATTTTCATCCGAAATAATAATGGCTCATTTCTCGATAAATTTCTCTCCTTTCACTATCAACGTATGGTATATACCTTTTACCAATGCTCTCATGCTGCACGTTTATTATAATACATATACGAATAATATATTTAATAACTCTAGCGTGAGAACAAGATTAAGAAATACAAAATTAGCAATCAATATCGGTAATTCAAATTTTGATTAACCCTTGAAAAAAAGCCCCCCCCCACACACACTACCCCTACCGAGATTTAATATCATTTATTTATTATATTATAATGAAAAATTGTTGTTAAATTTCAATAAACGTAATATATTGAAGAAATCTCATGGTAAAAGGTACTTTGATTTTTTCTTTGGAAAATAATGTCGGGTATGTGAAGATAAAAAATAAAATCGAATAATAAGAGAAATATAAAAGAAACGGTTACAGTACTCGACATTCTCATTGGTCATTGGTCATTCGCACAATTGCCCGGTGCAGTTGCCTTAATCGACTTTAATTGCTTCGAAATTCGTTGTTATCTTCATCGTTGTGTTGTTGTCGTCTCTAGTCTTATACGAACGACTGATTCTGTCGTGTGTCTCTTTGAAAATGAAGAAAATTCGTAACGTTTTACGAGGAATTATTTACGAAACTTTTTTAAACATTCTTTTATCATTTAGACTAATATTCGAAATCATATTTAAAACGGTACCACGATGCACGTGAATTAATCTACAATTGTAATATTCAATCTTTGATTTCCTTCGATCGGTTGTTCGTTTCTCAAAATTGTTGCAACCGATGGAAACTAAATGAAAAAAAGAAAAACAAAAAACAACGTTTGTTTTACTTTAGCATTTTATTCTTTTTATTATTTATTGTCATACGATTTGACTTAGATTTTCTCCAAAAAGTTTCTATCAATTTAGAGCAAAATGTGTGTGTGTGTGTGTATATATGTTTGTGATTATAAGCGTGTACATTAAAAATACCAATTTGTACGAACTTCTCAAGCAACGCAATATTTCATTAGAGAGAAAGAGAAAGAGAGAGAGAGTAAATTGATGAAATTTATTGACATAGCTTAAAGTTTACGTTTATATGTTGAAAGTTTGTAGTAAAATTTGAAAAAAGAAAAAGAAAAAAAGAAAAAAAAATTGTAGTAGTAACACGTTTCGTAGGACAAATAGTAGGTCGGGCTACTTGACCACCGCAAAGGGTCAACGTATGCGAGTTGTATAGTATAGAAGAGAAGCTTCCCTTCTGTACACCCTCCTCCTCCTCCTCCAGCTCCTCTTCGTCTATCCATCCGGTCCAGCAGCCCTCCTTCCGCCCACGGGGTCACGTCCTGCCACCATTTCTCTTTCTCTATCTTCATCTAATTTCATCGCTACGAATTACTTTTTTTGCACTTCTTTTTTTTCTTCTTTTTGTATAATTCCAAACAAAGGGTGGTGAGGGTGAGAACGAAAGGATCATTCCTTTGACGAGAAAATAATTCGTTGAAATTTCAAACTCTGCATCCATCGAGAGTTGAATATTACGTTGAATTTTATTTTATTTTTTCTTTTTTTTTTTTTGATTTTGCGAATGCTTATATCAAAATAAAAATGGGACAACAACGTGACTCCGAATTATTCTTGCATCGTTTCCTTTGACAAATATGAGAATCATTTTTCGTCGTTAATTTATTCTCAAACGAGTACTATTATTCCGTAACTATTTTTTTTTTCACCCTTAACAAAGAAAGTTGAACGATCTGATGAAGATTCTTTTTAATCTACTCGCGGAGCCGATATTCCTTGTGAACGTTCTAGATTCTTAAGTAATCCAAACATTCGACTGCCATTTTCGCTCCCTTCTTTTGACGTCACACCCGTGGCTCGTAAAAATAGCGAAACGTTCTCTCTCTCACACACACACATAAACTTTCTTTCTCTCTCTCTCTCTTTCTCTCTATTCGTGATCTTAATTTCTTAACGGACATAATCGCGAAATTGCATCCGCGCGGTTCGAAAAATGCATTCTCTTCGTTCGTATTCCTTTTTTTTTTTCTTTTTTAAAATTATCGATTTCACTGGAAGTTACCATGGAGAGAGAGAGTGAGACCGAAAAAGAAAAAACGAAACGCGTCGTCGTTCATTTTTACTTTTTTTTAAAAAAGAATCCATCATTATTGTTATATTATTATTTTATTTCATATTGAATTTCAAAACGTGCGTTGGGAAAAGAAGAGAGAGAGAAAAAAAAAGAATCGTTTCGATTATATGTCGTTGACGTCACGAGCCTACTTATGACGTCATTCACCTGCCACCGGTGCTCCACCCGATTCCACCAACGGTGTCATCGTCGTCGTCGTCGTCGTCGCCGTTTTCTATCTTCTTCTTGTCCTCCTCTTATTCTTCTTTTCAAGATGGGTTACTACACACGTTTTCTTTTTACCTTTTTTCTTCTTTATTTTTTTTTGTTCTGACGTCGATACGCACAAATATGCACATTATTATCTCGAGTATAACTTATAAGTGAATACGAATATAACTTAAAAGTGATACGAATTAATCGGGAATCGAATAAAGTGTTGTTTTCTTTTACTTTTTTTTTTATTTTAAATACGACGTGAAATAATCGTAATGCATAATTGAAGTTGCGTTATTTTTAGAAATATTTATAAAAAAAAAAAAA